ACCCTTCTTCCCTTCCACCCTGTCTTGCCTTGTAATCCCAAGCAATCTATCACCTTTGTTTCACTGTCTGAAATATGGGGTTGAAGACAAACACGGGCTTTTTTTTGTGGCTCTAGCCATCTCTGTAAGGAAATATTAATAGCAGTTTCATGTTTTAAATCATCCTGAGTTCCTGAGATAAAAAGACAGTTTGAGTAGTAATCATTACTCTACAGCAAAAGGAAGAAGCAATTTTGACAGGTCCCTTCCTGCCGTTCATGGTTCCATTTAAAGGCTGGTGATACGAAGGTGTGGTGATCTGAGCTACACACAGTTCACTAGCCATTTGGCCAAGAGGATGTCTAGGGTTCGAGGCAACCAACATCGCAGCCGAGTCCATTCAAATTAGCTGACATAGCTCAGTCCTCTTAGCTAGGCCTATTTGAAACACAACTCTGACCTAGCACTGCTCTGTGCAGACACCATCAACGGCCCCTCTGCCTGTCAGGGGAGCACCCGCGCTCACACGCCCACACGTGGCTCTCCTCTGCTCCTCCTGCCCGGCCTCCTCCACTAGCTGAAACCCTAACCCATCGCCAGCTCTCGGGCCTCCACATCCACTGGTGGTCATGCCCTGATCCTCTGTACCCATTTCAGGGGGCACGTTTTCATTCCCGCTACTTTCTAAGGAGGAGATGTGACTTACCATCTTACTCATCTTTGTATCACGGTTCCTACCCCCATACGTTGTATTTTCAAATTAGTCGTTGGAAGAACACTGAACCAGGAATGAGAACATCTGGGCTCCAGTCTTAACTTTGCTTCTAGATCCTTTTGTGGTTTCAGGTCCTTACCTGAAAAATGAGGTCTGCGCTATCCGAAGGGGCTTCCTAAACTTAGCAGGGCACCAGAACTGTACCGTGTACTTTTTAAAAATACAGAATTTAGGGCTCCACGCCAGAGAGTCAGATTCAGTGGGTGGGAGTTGGGGCCTGGGACTCTGCATTCACAGCCTCCCTGGCAAGTCCAGTGCTCTCCCCAAAGGCAAACTCTTAGAGCAGCTACTTAACAGGCAGGTTCCTGGGCTCTGTGGCAGATCTACTAAGTGGGGATTTTCATGGCAGGGTCCTGCTAACATGTGCGGTTAACAAGCACTCCTGGTGGTTTTGATCATTAAGTCCGTCTGGGAAACAGAGGCCTAGCTCCCTGCTACACAGAGTGGTCCAAGGACCAGCAGTGTCATTGTCACCTGGGAGCTTGTTAGAAATGCAGAGTGTCAGGCCTCTCCGCAGAGGACTGAATCAGAGTCTACATTCTAACAAGATCCCCAGGCAACTGGCAGGCACGAGAGTTTGAGAGTGTGGCTCTCGATCAGGCTTCTCAAACTTTAACATGCCTCAAACTCCTTGGGAGGGCCTGTTAAAACACACATCACTGGGCCTCCCCTCCTCCATTTTCTGATTCTCAGGCCTGAAAGGGGCTGAGACTTCACATTCCTAACAAGTTCCCAGGTGATGCTGATGCCGCTGGTCCACGGACCCCACTTTGAGAACCACTGCCCTACGTGAGTTCTCAGAATTCTTCTAGTTCTAAGAGCCCTTTTTTGTCGTTTAAATTCTCTGAGTGAAACCTCTGAGTTTTTTTCTTGTTAATCTACTTGGGCACTCGCAGACTCCTTTTCACTCACCTTGCATGTCTAAGGTTCTATGAATTGATTATCACTGTAACTATTTAAGTGCTAAACTGTTTGGCACAGACTGTATTTGTTATAAAACTTTGAAGAATAAGCCACATCACTGACTCTGGGGCAGTCATCCGTACGGAGAAATTCTTTCCTCCACTCCCCACTGGACTTGGGGACATGCCGGGCGGGACTGCACTGAAGTTGCATGGAGCTCCTGGCAGGGGTATGTTTTGTTTCTCCCAGAGCTAGTTTCCTCACTCAAGTCCCTGAACTAGAGACTTGGGCACAAGATGGCGGAGAGTACAGGAGCCACACAGATGGTCTAGGCCGACCTCCTTATTTCCCAGATGAGGACGTACAGGATAAGTGACTGCTTCGAGGTCACCCCCCCCGACCCCCCCGTCCTCCCCCCGACCCCACCCCCGCCCCCAGCCCTGGCAGTGCGAAGACTCTAACGGGAATTTCCTGCCCTGGGGGTACCCAGCCACAGGAATAAGAGTCACAGAGACACTCCCTCACACTCCCCACGTCCCGGCCCATCTATTCACACAGTCCTTGGCTGCCCCGCCTCAACTGTGTCCCATGAGACTGACAAAGCCTCTCACCTGGCCAGCTCCAGGCATCCCTGTTGCTCTGCCCGGTGCCACCTTTCACTCCTTGGCGCTGGAGTCTCCCGCTAGGTGGCACCACTGCTCTGTTAGCCAAGACAGTCCCCAGTCAGGGACTAAAGTGATAAGTTCTCTATGTGCCAAAGCTGATGGTGGCTCTGGGGAAGTACTTGTGGAAAGTGGGAGGAGACCCCCCCCCGCCCCGGCCCTTTGCCCTCGCTTTGGGAGAGCAGCCCAGAGCAGTGCCCCGTCACATGGAGCTGAGGCAAAGGAAACCCACTAATACTAATCCTGTCTTAATTGCAAATATTGATGTTTTGTTCATCATGGATTCTTTTGCATTAATTTTTTTTTTCTTAAAGATTGGCACCTGAGTTAACAACTGTTGCCAATCTTTTTTTTTTTTCTGCTTTATCTCCCCAACCCCACCCCCGTACATAGTTGTATATCTTAGTTACAGGTTCTTCTAGTTGTGGGATGTGGGACGCTGCCTCAACGTGGCCTGACGAGCGGTGCCATGTCCGCGCCCAGGATCCGAACCCTGGGCCGCCGCAGCGGAGCGCGCGAACTTAACCACTCGGCCACGGAGCTGGCCCTTTTGCATTAATTTTGATTGAAAAAAATATTGCCTTGAAATGTTACTAATCTTATTAATTACCAAGTTTTTTGTTGTCCTCTTAAATTCTGCACTCATTCGCCTCACCCAAGTCCCAGCCTGTGTCAGGGCAGCACGGTTTGTACCAATCGCTGTTTCTGCTCTTACGACTGGCCCCTTCTCTCTGTGAGATCCCCACGCCGGGCAGGGCAGATGGGAGGGCAGCCCACCCTGGGGATGGAGGCTGTGGGCTCCTTGGTCACTGTCGCCGACAGGAGCCCAGTCCCTCTCAGGGTAAGCTCTGCCTCAGGAGGCCCCTCATTCTCCCCATGCATCCACCTCTGCCAGCCCACGCCCCCAGGTCCCCAAAGAGTCCTGAATCCCAACTGCCACTGCCTGGCCACAAGCCGAAGACCTTGCTATTGGAGGGGGTGTGTCTCCAGCCCCCAGCCCAGGGCATCACCTTGCCTTCTAGAACAGTCCCCTGCCCTTAGCATGGCTTGATTTAATTCGTTTCCTGAAGGAATCGAAGGCCCACCATCCCTTCGTGCATACTGTTTGGGCTTATTTCTTCTCTCCCTCTTGTTTTGGGAGGGACCTTCTTACTTCTCTCCCTGAACGAGCTTGTATTCTTCACAGCTTCCGGTGACATCTCTTTAGATGCTCCTAGTTTCTTCCTGTGGGCCCAGCTCCCTCTGCAGAGTTCAGTGAAAGAAAAGAAAGGGAAACAAGCCGCCCACGGAACCAAGAGAAACGGCAGTCAAAGCACCCAGTCCCTCCCGCCAGAACCACCCGGGAGCTCTGAAAATCCCACGGCCCGGCCCACACGCAAGACCAGTTAAGCAGAATCTCTGGGGGTGCAGCCCTTCCACTCTCCCCGGGCATCCTCGGTCTGTAAACCCCCTCAGGTGAAAAGTTCCCAGGCAATGGCGGGAACCCAGGTCCAGACAGGCTGGGGCCCAGCTGAGCCAAGGCTGACACCTATAGGCGAAAGCCGGTACTGCTACTGGGGACAGAAGGACGTCAGAGGCTCTAGGGACTCAGAACCTGTCTTCTCCCCACGAATGATTCTCCTGTTGTTTAAATTTCCCAGTGACGTCCAGTCTAAGCCCTTCCAAGGATGTTTCACCTCCACGTCAGCATTTTCACTGGTGGGGCAGCCCCTACTGGCTGGCAAAATGCTTTGCATGCAGCTGAATCCTGCTGGAGAAATCCGCTCCCCTGGCCCTATGTCTGCACACGGGAGACACACACAGGAGAAACCCACTCTCCCCGCTCTCCAGGATCATAAAGCAGCCACCGGATCCTTGTGCAACCACGCCTTTCATGGTGGAAGAGCCCAGGTCCTGCTCCCTGCCCCTCCTTCCACCTTGAGCTCTCTGGATATGCTTGACTGGCCATATCCCTTCATCGCATGTGACGCCCAGAATTTAGGCTAAATTTTAAAGTATATACAGAAGTAATATATGTTCATCATGAAAATATATTTGCCAGACATAAAACAAAATAGCAGTGCCCCTGTCCCCTCCATTCCCCTCTCATTCCCGCTGTCTGGGGTACCATTGGTAACAGGTTGGTGGCACCCAGAACTGAATGTCATATTCTTGCAGCAAGAGTGAAACGTCCTCCAAAATTGTCCCATTTGCAACAATATGGATGGACCTGGAGAGTGTGGTGTTAAGTGAAATACGCCAGAGACAGAAAGACATGGACAAAGAGAATAGATTAGTGGTTACCAGAGGGGAAGGGGGTTGGGGGTGGGCAAAAGGGACAACAGGGTACATATGTATGGTGATGGATAAAAGTTAGACTACTAGGGGTGAGCACGATGAAGTGTATTGAGGAATTGATAGACAATAATGTACGCCTGAAATTACACAATGTTATAAACTATTATGACCTCAATAAAATTACTTTTTTAAAAAAAGAGTGAGGGGCGGGCCCGGTGGTGCAGTGGTTAAGTTTGTACGTTCCGCTTCTGCCCAGGGTTCACCGGTTTGGATCCCAGGTGAGGACATGGCACCGCTTGGCACGCCATGCTGTGGTAGGCGTCCCACAAATAAAGTAGAGGAAGATGGGCACAGATGTTAGCTCAGGGCCAGGTTTCCTTAGCAAAAAGAGGAGGACTGGCAGTAGTTAGCTCAGGGCTAATCTTCCTCAAAAAAAAAAAAAGTGAAACGTCCTCTCTGAGCCTCAGTTTCTTCATCAGCAACATGCAAATAATTATAGCACCTTTCCTAGAGATTAACAGTGGGACACAAACAGAGGGCCACGCAAACTGCCTGTCACATATTAAGTGTTTACTGAGTGGTGGTTCTTAAAGGCTGACTGAATGGGTGCAACCAGACAGGGGCAGGAAGGACATTATTCTTCCTGCCTATTATGCGCACATCACAGCAGCATTGGCTTCATGTAGATTACTGAAATTAGTCCCAAAGCCCAAATGCTGACGGCATCTGCTGAGAAGTTGTAAATAAAAGAGGCTCCCCAAGGAATCCTTCGGGCCAATGTGCATTGGATGGGTTTACACCAGGGGGCAGTGCTGGGTCACTTATGGAGGGATTGCTTCCTGCTCAGCCAAATGCAGGCCCAGGCAGCATAGCTGCTGTGGAGGCTGTGGAGGCTGCCGCCATTCTGATTACCTCGGGTTGAGCCTGGGGGTATCCTGTCTGCTAGTCTGCCCAGGTCTGAGCTCAGCAGAGTCCCCTGGTGTCAGGTCCTCCAGGGCTGGAGGCACCCACTCTTCTCTGGTGCCCATCTGCAATTTACGGCCACTTCAATGTCTTCAAGCTCAGATTCTGTTCTCACTTTCCACAAGACTCATGTGTACATTGTGCTTCTCTCCACTCGCTCACCTGCGCCCGCGGCAGATCAATCCTAAATTACAGCGTTTCCCACAGAGCCTAGCCTCAGGATCTTTCTCAGCATCCCATGCCGGACAGTCGCTACCAACTGCTCAGCCTCGACACTGGAGCTTCAGTCACTGAACAGATCCTCACTGAATGTCTGCTATGTGCCAGGCGCTCTTCTCCTTGCCATCCTTTCCCTGCCCGAGTCAGGCCCGATGAAGGATTGGCTTCCCTGAAACAGAATGAATTGTCTTGGATCTCCACGCGCACAAGGATGCAGAGCTGCTCTCAGCAAGGATGCCCCAAACTTCTGGGCTTATTCTGACAACGAGAATAAGAGGAGAAGACCGGAAATCTCAAATTCCCATGACACACTCCTGGTCAGACCTGCCATGCTCCTCTAGCCAAATTCAGAATGGCGACAACTCCCTTCCTGCCAACCTGACTCAAAGCTCAAACAACCCCTGTAAGAGTCTGACCCAGATCCAAGGTAGGGCCCCAAGTTAGACTCTTCCCCTCCCCCCAACCCTACCAAAAGGTAAAGAAAATACTTCCAGAGATTCTTCACTTTCCAGGACAGTTCAGATGTCACATACCCTCTCTCGCTGCCAAACATGCACATGCTCTTGGACTTGGCAGACCCGTTGGCTTAAGGGGCTGCCCTGCCCCACCCTGCCTGGAGGTTTGCATTTAAAAATGTTTTGATTATGCGTGCTTTTCAAGAGAAATAAGGGAAAGCGTTCTTTTACAATTCTGCAATTTTAGAGAAAGGGAAGTCAAAAAAGTTCTTGACATGAGAGGTACAGACTATTTTAAGAAAGAGGAGAGGATACAAGAAAGGATACTAGGAATCAGAGGGTTTAATACTGCTTAACCCAGAGAGATCATAAAACCCTTGTGGGGGATTTATCTCTAAGATGGAATCTAGCTGACTGAATGATACGAGATGCTCAGGAGAGCAATAAAAGAAGGGAGGATTTCGGCCTGTTTAATCACTCCTGGAGAAGGAGAGAAACACACCAAAGAGGGTCACAGTTGAGTTACATCATGAGCCAGGGTCAAGAGAAGACATGGGACCTCAGGCCTGATCTAGTTTATGTACTAATGGTCCAACTTTGCACAAATGGGAGAACTAGAAAACAAAGGATGGTTAAACAGGAGTTAAAGGTCATAAGACAGGGTATTCAAGAAGTTGCCCTATGGCCTGAGCAACAGAGCTCTGACAAGGTCACGTACGTCTCAATGGGCCATGGAATCTAGAGACAACAGACTCCCTCAATGTTTCTTGAGGTCACTGTGAGCATGCTGTCAATAGCAATAAGCCTAAATTATCAAGAAAAAGTAAAATATTATTGACTCTACCCTTTTTAAGAGGATAGGAACAAAAGATCACATATTATGTGATCCCATTTATGTGAAATGTCCAGAATAGGCAAATCCATAGAGACAGAAATAGATTACAGTGGGAGTGACTGCTTAATGGGATGGAGTTTCTTTTTGGGGCATTGAAATGTTCTAATATTAGATTGTGGGTGATGTTTTCACATCTCTGTGATATACTAAATAGCAGTGAACTTCTAGTAGGTGAATGTTATGGTACATGAAAATCATCTCAGTAAAGCTGTAACAAAAAAAAGAAGAAGGTAGGAAGGTATGTAATACAACTTATAAATATTCCATTAGAAATTATTCCAAACTTCAGCAATATAAAGGGATTATATTCAGTTACCTGGGGAATTCGCAGTGTGGAGAATTTCGTTCTCAGACAGTGCTGGAAAAATGAAGTGTTTCTATATAACCAACAGAATTCAGTAAAGAGATTAGAGAGAGAAAGTACAAAATATACCCTTAATTCAAGAGAATTATAGACTCATAGAGAAGGGACTCAGAAGATCACATGATCATTCAGACACAATCTCTTTTTTTTAATGGATGAAGAAACAATCTAAAATAGCACAGAAAGTTTTAAAATAGAAAATAATGTCTCTTTCCTACCCCAGTTCATCAGTCCCTTCCACTAAGGTAGTCACTGTTTCTAGTTTCTTGTATACCATTCCATAAATGTTCTATTTGTGTGCAAGTACTTACACACATATGTGTGCACACACACACTTCCCCTATGGTCCAATTAGACTAAAAGTAGAGGAGGAAAAATGTAAACTAAACTTAAGGAAGAGCTTCCTTAATATAAGAGCCCGTCCTCAGAGTTCCCCTAACATTTTTCTATAGTAGGAGCACTTCCTTTTATTTAAGCACACTAAAAAACAGGAGGCAGCAAGTGGTGGAGCCTAACAAATGTATGCCTGAAATCAGGGATGGGCAACCTCGTGGCACATGAGTGACTCTGAGTGATACTCACATAGCCCATTGAGTCAAGGGCACACAAAGATCTAGCAACACACCCACAGCTCAGTTTGGTCCCGCAGCATCGCATTCTGTACTTTTCTTTAGACAAACAGCAGCACCTGTGCAACACAAATACATCTCAGTCCCTCTGATCCCAGTTTATGTGGAAGCTCAAAACTGTCCTGTTGGGGGTGGGAGACGGAGGTGCGTGCGGGAAGATTATGGCTGACACACATGGATTGAAGCATTGGCGTGAGGCACGGGGAAGGTGGCTAATTCCGTGTATTGAGGTTAAGTGGAGATGGTGTATCAGGAAAATCACAGGTAGCATGATTATTGGGAACATTGGCAGGGAAAAGGCAACATAATCACAGGGCTCCATATAAAGCTGGGCTTCTAATCAACTATAAGATGAAATGTTGGTCTATCAGGTAATATGGCTCTTAGCACGGTAACAAGGCTCTTGCCTTGAAATATGGTACCAAAATAGAAGGAATACAGTCCACACTGCAAAGTCCCCTTGAAGATTCTTCACCCTCCAAAGTATTTTTAGCTGTGGTAACCGTAGATGGTGGACAAAGATCTACAGCCCTCAAAATAAGACGGCTCCTGAAACATAAGGTCAGCAGATGCCATCTCCGTAAAGCAAGCCTGCAAGAAGGAGGGGATTAGCTGTCTCCAGGGCAGCTTTCCAGAAGTAACGCATCTTGTGGAGTGATTTGGAATGACCTATGAGGAGATTAAAGTGCCTGTCCTGAGAATGCCATTAGCAAGCTGCCTAACTCAACGCAAAATAACCCCACACTTAGGAAGCTGTGTGTTGTGGCAACGAGGGTAACCGGCAGGGTGGTGGTCTGCACGCGTATCTGAAAAAGGAGAGTTGGAAAATGAAACTCTGTCGGTGTGTCGCCAGGAGGTCCATCAGGCACGCTGGTTCCGAATGATTGATCCTGTTCCTTTACGTGAAAATAGCCTTTAGGCAATGGAGGCCAGGCTGTCAGATCATCAGAACTTGATAGGAATAGCACATTAGAAGACACAACTTTTGTTCTGTGCTCACTTAGTAACTCCCTTACCTCATTCACCAGCAAGAGACTGCACTGGGACAAAGACTGCTTCCACTTCTTGGACCCAGAAGAGCTCCCTTTAGAAACAAATAAAGCGGAATTCAGGTGTAAAAGTCAGTCTCTTGTGAGTTTGGTTACTAATTTCTGACCAGGTGATTGACCTTAGATGCCCTGATAAGTCACGCTCCTGAACTTCAGTCTAGCATTCTTTCATCCACCATTTCTTGAGCACCTCCTCCACACCAGCACTGTGGTAGGAACCAGTAAAACCCAGAGAAAGGACAGAGTCCCTGCCCTCAGGGAGCTTCCAGACCAGCGTTGACCCAAGCCTGCACAGTGGTTAAATATCACACTTGTTATGGCTGGCCTGAGGGGACAGCGAGCATCCTCCACACTTACTGAATCCGTACTGACCTCACATTTATAGTCTACCCACAGGATCAGAAAATCCATTCATCTGAGACCTGGGAGGAACCACAGACATCATCATATCTAGTGGTTCTCGATTTTGCCTGCATACAATCACCTGGAGAAGCTTTTAAAAAATACTGATCCCGGCTCCAACCCCCAGAGATGTTCATCGAGTTGGTCTGGAGCAGACGCCAGGCCTCAGGATTTTTAAAGTTCGTCCAGGTGAGTCAGAGGTGAAGGCAGGGCTTAGAGTCACTGATCTAGTCTAGTGCTGTATTTCCCAGGGGGTGAACCGAGACTCAGGGAACTGAGGGGACGGGCCCGAAGTAACACTCATGTCAGTGTGATGCCCGTGTAGGTTCAGAGACTTACAGCACATTAAGCCAGGCTACGCTTTGGCCAGGTAGCGTCTCCCACATCTAGTCATCTGCACGTGATCCTCGTTGTATTTGCCGTGGACACATGCACATTTCAGACTTAATATTTTTTCTTTAAAACCGATGATTTTTTTGAATTTAAATGCTATGTTAGCCTTATCCTCAGCAATAAAATTTATGAAATATATTTAAAAATTAATAACTCTTAAGATGAGACAGATTGAACAGTAGGCCACCTTAGTTCATGTTGCATATCACGCCCAGTACACGTAGCCCACTTTGGGACGCACAGCATGGAGGTGTTGGTGGCACTGGCAAGGCTTGGGAAGGTCTGGCACAGGTGTCCTACACCTCTGCAGCAGGTGCTCACATGTGGGGCTGAAGAGAGTTCAGGTGACCACAGGTACCAGGCAGCAGCTGGTCCTCAGGGAGCCTGTCAGTCCGTGGTAGCACTGAGAGTGGGAGGGTGATTTATGACAGGGTTGGAGGGTGGAAGGAGGGGCAACGACAGCAGGATTTATTTTACCTCTTCTGGAAAGGCCACAGGTCACTCCATACCAACAGACTATTAAAATGAAGCTGCCGATCCATCACCTGGAATCTGCTGATGCAAACGCACTGAAATTGATCTAGGAGGAGGGAAAAAACACCATTACAAGATGCTCATCAAGCAACACCACGGAGACATCCTTCCGTCTGGGTTCATAAAGATGCAGGACTTTTAATCTATCATTCTATTTACCAAGACATTTTCTTTCTTGAATAAGCTCATTGATCCTGATATCTTGTTTAACAGGTTCTAAACTGATATGCAATATTCGGAGAGCAAGAAGGGAAAAAATTACTTGTTCACCAGTCCTCCCTTCAGTTCCACTTCAGGATGCGTTAGTTCTTTCAGTTCTGACCAACAAGTTCTTCATAATCAGGGCTTTGACTAAGAAGTTTCCTGGTTTTTAAATCTGGGAGAAAAGTGGCAAAAGGAAGAATTCATCCTCACATGAAATGAGATGAGCCAGAACCCTTATTAAAACCAACCTACCCGGAGAAAACCTAAGACTTTGTACGTTTCTCTCTCACTCTTGAGTTTTACAAGGAGTTTCAATGACACAGTGGGTCCACTGCTAAGACGGTCCCTGGGGTGGGCTCTGATTCACGTGCACAAGGAGACGCAGACAAGGATGTTCAATGCAGCAGTTTTTACAACAGGGGAAAATCAGAAATGCCTTGAATGCCAATCAATAAGAGAATAGATAAATAAATTGTAGTGGAGTTACACAATGGAATGATATACAGCAATGAAAATGAGTGAACCAGAGCTACATGTATCAACTTAGATAAATCTCAAAGAAAAGTTGATGAAAAACAGCAAAAAGTAATTATGTATACAGCACCATACTATTTTGGTATAGTTTTAAAATATAAAATAGTAGTGCATATTGTTTATGGATACACACAGAAAACAAAGGTATAAAACATTGGACAGGAAAACGCACACTGCCTTCAGAGAAACAGCTGCCGTTGGGATGGCAGCAGGAGATAAATAACTGTAGTGTTTTATTATTATTATTATTTATTGCAATTATGTTTAAGGATCTGAAGCAAATATGGAAAAATAACACTTATTAAACCCAGATGGTGGGTCATGAATATCTTTTAAATTATTTTCCAGATTTTTCTGTCAACCTGAAACTTTCGTAGCTGAAAAAAAGTTTTTTAAGCTATTGAAGCTCTGAATTAAATGCACATGTATGAATTCATCTGGTGGAGACATTCACCTATGACAGAAAGTCCTGGTGACTACTAAGGGGCAAATGCAAAGCTCAACTTTTGTCAGGTGGACTGACACATGTAAAATCGGCAGAAAGGATTTGCTAAAGACAAGAAAATAATATTCAATTAACAAAATTTTATACAAGTAAAAAAAGTGAGCTAAAAATGTTTCACTTAGTGACGCAGCTTTGCTTTTTAAAAACAAATGGCAAAAATATTTTTAATTTTTTTTCCTGAATTTACTTTAAAAATGACAAAATTAACATACACTCATTTTAACAAGTCTAGCTATATAGAGACAGTTAAAAAAGTTGACAGGCTCCCATCTCTTGTTCCAATTCCACCTCCATCGCACAAGCTGACCAAGGTTTATAATTTTATATGTACCCCTTCAACTCTTTCTCTATTACATTTTAAAAAATTGCTTTGTGCATTTTTTAAACAATTCAATTTTCATAATTGAAAATAATTTATTTTTATCACTGCCAACACAATCCATATTCGTTTTAGAAAAATACAGGAAATGCAAATGAGCAAAAACAAGGTAAAACAAAAACGTTTAAGTGGGCATGCATTTTAATTCACTGTTTGAAAAAGCTTAATACATATTTAATTCCTGAATCAAAGCTTTAGAAGAAACTCCACTTGGCAGCTCACAAATGGCTGGCTTTGTTTACAATAGTCGCCTGTCGTGAGAGGACCTGCATGACCAGCCAGAATGGTTTCCACTTCAGGCAGGGTGTAATTTGGGCTGGTAAATCAGCAGTCATACCCTGGGGCTCAAGGTGGGGTGCCACCCTTGTCCCCCAAAGTATAGCAGCCGGTATGGTCAGGGACACGACGCTCCTCTCCTTTCCACCAGGCTGCTTGACAGCTGTGGCTCAAAGTGTCCTGCTTCACTCCTTCTTTGCTCCCCCCACCTCTTGTCACTGTCCTTCTTTCTCCTCTGTCCTTCTCTCTACCACCTCCCTTACTCTACTCCTTTCCTTTCTCCAACTGGCAAAGTGTCCATGTCACTCACTTCTTGGGTAACTGGAGCCCTTCAGCTGTTTGGGTCCCTGTTTGGAAGGACATCTCAGCACTTTCTGGGGCTCCTGGGGCGGCCAACTGCCCACAAGGCTTCATGTGTCAAAGCAGGAGGCTGACGCAGATCTCCTTACAAGAACTTTGCGCGAGCAATGGAAGTTACCTTAGGTGCTGAAAAAAAATCTCTCCAGAACTGCCCCAGGCCCTTTCTGAGACCTCTATTTCAAATTAAAACTTTCCCCTTTCACAGTTTGGGGACCCATCGTGTACCCCTGGAGGATGTGTGGGGGAAGAAGCTACAAGGAAAATACTCACAGGCAGAGTTACCTCTCCGGGAAGAGGAAGGCCCGAGACAGGTGCAGGTCGGCAGAAGCAGACTCAGGAAACAGGAGAAGAGCAGGGACATTTTAGGCAAGAACGATCACTCCGTCCACCTGTGAAGAGCTTCAGATTGGGGGTGGGACGTGCCTGGGTGAGCGGAGGGTTCAATCTCTTGTCTCTTCCCTTCCTTCCTGCACACCTTTCTTTCTTTATTTTGTGCTTCTACTCAATCTTAAATGCTCTTCTCCAAAACAGGTTGTTTGGAAATAGGTGAGCATTACCAGTCTTGCCCCAAATTATTTGGATAGGCTTTCGCAGGACAACTGCTGGTGTAAAAATCAACAACTCTCATAGAAGGCACAACGCCAAGAGGGAACCCTAACCTAAGCTATGGACTCGGGGTGATGATGACGTGTCAATGTAGGTCCATCAACTCTAACAAACGTACTGCTCTGGTGGACACTGTTGATAGTGAGGCAGGCTGTGTCTGGGGCGGGTAGGAATTATATGAGAACTCTCTGTACTTTCTGCTCAATTTTGCTGTGAATGTAAAACTGGTCTAAAAAAGTTGTCTATTTTTTAAAATTTTTTTAAAGGCTACAACCACTGCCAGGAGGTAGAAACACTCCCTGTACCTCCTCATACAATGTAAACGTTAAACACAGAAAGACAGAAAGGGAAAGAAACAAGGACTTCAAAGACAGTCCCCAGGGTTTAATATCAGCAGGCACCTAGTAATCATGTGGGGACAAGGCGCCTGGGACGGGGGACACTTTCCCTTGCTTGGCGCCAGAAACCCTTGGCATTATCAATTTACACAGGGAGAAGCAAGAACGTCTTCATAATCCAAGGCTTGGGCTCCTCCTCCTTCATCCCTGTGGGGAAGGAAATCTGAGGACATTGCAAATCTGGCCAAGAAATGGGGCCAAAGCTGTAAATCCCAACAGGGTTGTTCTCAGAAACCAAGCCATGGGATCATCTGGCCTCAATTGATCTACCTGACCCTGGGCTTCTCTAGCAACCCCGACCAAGGAAATGTTATCAATCATATGTTATTCACCAGGTATTATTAATCATCTATTCTTATGAACTCAACATTTGTTGAGTACTGACTGTGTGCCAGCCGACATTTGTTGAGTGCGTCGCATACCTTCTCTTACTTGTTCCTTATGTCCCTACTTAAGAAGGTGCTACTCTTATCCCGTTTTTACAGATAATGAAACTGAGGTTTAGGGAGAATAAATAATTTTCTAAAGCCACAATTATAGTAAGTTTCAGAGCCAAGAAAAAAACTCAAATCTATCACACACCAAAACCCACACTTTTACCTCCTAAATCCTGTGCTCCGGGTCTCAGTAACACTACAGGAGTAAGGGTGAGCAGAAGAGCGCTTGGGTTTTTCTAGTGGTTCCATCCATTTCTTAGTGTCCAGAACTGGACTAAGAAGGCCTTTTGTCTTTCACGTCTACAAAGCCCTCCAGATTTTTCTGTGCTCACTCTCCCTGCCACACCCCACACAATAGCCACCCTGGACAACTTGCTTTTCTCCAGACTCATCAAGCTTTCCTATATCTCCATGTGGCATATGTTGCTTATGTGGTTCCACCTGCCGGGAATGACTTTTCTCTATTTTCCGTCTGACAAAGCCCCCTTTCGAGAATAAATTCCAGTGTGGTCCCCTCCTCGGCGAAAACTTTCCTAGTCTTGCAAGAATTACTTTTCCTCTCCCCGCTGTGCTTTCACCACATTGTGTTAGACCCTCAATTCTAACCCCTAGCATATCGATCTTTGCTATTTCTGCTCAAGTCTGTCCTTCCGCCTGGACTCTGTAAGACAGGAGTTCATCTCTCCCCTTATCTTACTCATTTTTGTAGAGAGTAGGTACCGGAACTATTGACCTAAATGCACATCAGGTGCCCTTTATAGAGAGGAAGGATAGTACTACTGTACAAATGGATAGTGGGTGCTCAAAATATCCATTGTATGAGTTGTATGCATAAAGCAAGTTCCATTGGGCAATATCAGTAAGACTTTGGAGATCATTCTGCATTTGTGGACTCTAAGGTTCACAATGATTGGCTCAGAGTTATACTACCCAAATCACCAAAGAAACAATGGCAAAAGCTAAATCAGAACGAGTGTCTGCACTGAGCAAAGCCTCAATCTTAGCTTGTAACCTCCTAGTTGTGAATTTTGTTTTTATGAAAAGTGGTCCAAGATGGAAAGTATGTCCTGAAAACTGGATTTATTTGTGACACATAAGGGTCTAATGGGAAGATTTTTATTCAGAAGGATTCAAAGAGACTTTCCTCATCTACTGACTTCTAAGAGTCAAACATTCCGTCCCAGGACCTCTCAAGTAAGAGGGGAAATTGCTTCTTCCGGAAATAAGCAGAAACCAACTAGAAATAAGTTTTATTATAACTGTGTGGCAAATAATAGTCTTTCATGATGTGCCCCTATGCCCCTAAGAGGCCTTTCCAGTTCATTCTAAACTGGGTTCTACATCAATCAGAGACCAGA